CGCCGTGCGCGGCGGTGCTGCCGGCCAGCTGCGCCTCCTCGGTGAGTCCGCCTGCGCCCCGGCCGGATCCCCGACCCCGACCCGTGATCCGTGATCCCCGATCCCGCAGGTCTGGGGTGTGCTCTGGGAACAGGCATTCCCACAGGTGCCTCCTGACCCCTGTGCAGACGTCGCTGCTTCCTGGCCAGTCTGTGAACCCCTGACCTAGACCGGCTGGCTGGGACGGGGACCTGGCGGGCTGGAGGCAGTCTGTAGATGGTGGGTGAGACTGTGACCCCGGAGTTAGATTCTCTATATTAGGGTGCGTTTAGCACGCGCCATGCGTATTAAGCGTAGGAGATAACAAGTTAATTACGTGCAAAAAAGACAGTAAGAATAGCACCGTCCCAGAAAGTGGAATAGAGGCTTGAACTGTCCTATTTTGAGACAGTGCTTGTCTTCAGTCATGCCCGGAATGGGGAGTACCCACCGGCTTGAAGCCAGGCCAGGCCCTGGGCTCTAGGACAAGGCGGACAAGGGACAGGACACACAGACCGGGGGTGGACAGCTGAGAGAGAAGGGGGGTGATCAGAAAGGCTTTCCAGAGAGCCCGGCTCCCTTTCTCAGCTCAGGAAGTAACTCTGCCTAGTAACAGAAACAGCGTGCCCTGTCATGTCACGGGGTTTCATCCTCTTGAAGACCCGTGACATCACTGTCATTGTCCCCACTTTCAGATAAGGAAACTGAAGCGTGGAGAGATCAGAGGACTGTCCCAGGGTCGCACACCTGTTTAGCAATGATGATGCCGGACAGACCAGACTCTCCTGAGCCTCAGTTTCCTTCTATGTAGAGAGTAAACCCGCGTCCCGGGGTGTAACCGAGGACGCAGTGACATGCTTACCGTGCCTGCAGCAGGGCTCGGGCGGTGAGTGCCCTCAGTGGTGACAGTAACCGCAGCCGCTGCCTGGGAGGACGAGGAGGAGCAGGCCAGCCAGGGTGGGTGGTGGGCTGTTCGGGCCTTGCTGAGGGCCCTCTGATATAGTATCTACCCTGGGTGGGGTCGAGCGGCCGGGGTTCCTGCCAGGGCTTTACCAGAGCTAAGCCTAGGCTCCCTGTCACTCTGCACCTTCAGAGGAAGCAGGGTGAGCCCGGAATGGTCACGGGAGGAGGCAAAAAGGAGGGAACTGATTTCGGAGGCGGGGGCCTGGCCGGGCTGATAGCTCCCTCAGAGCAGCCGGAGTGCTGCTGCATCTGCCCGTCACCTCCAGGGGATAAGGGAGGGGCATCCCTCTTCCTCCTGAGACGTGATCCGTTAGCTTTGGCACCACCAGTGAGCTTGGGGACAAAACAGTCATCCAGGTTGGCCACTATTAGTCTGGGGTCTTACAGGGACAAGTGACAGAACCTGACTCAAAGTGCCTTAAGCAAAAAGGGACATTTGAGATTATTTGTCAAGTCTGGGAGTACATTGGGTGAGTTCAGGAACAGCTGGATCTAGGTGTTGAGAGGGTGTCCTCAGAATCCCGTCTCTCTCCATCTCGGAGCTTCACTTTCCTCCGTGTTAGCTGCTGTCTCAGGCAGGCCCTGCCTGAGGGTGGCTCCGACATGCCAGGCTTGCCTCCCGATGGGATGGGCCTTTCTCAGCAGTTCTGGTGGGAGTCACGGGGTAGGGTTTCCGTGGTCTTCCTTAGGTTATGTGCCTTCGCTGAACTACCATGGAGACCAGAGAGGAAGTTCTTAGAGCCCGGGTCATACGGGTGAGGGTTAAGTATGGCCCAGAACACCTGGTGCTTTTTCTGACTTAGTGGGATGGGCGCTGGGTGGACAGGGAGCGTCTGTCTGCTGCAGCAGGTGAGCGCAGTGTGGCCCAGGAACCTCAGGGCAGCTTGTCTGCCTGTTAGACCGACAGGAAGTGAAGCTGCAGGGCGGTAGAGAACCGGGGCCAGTAGGCAGGTCTGACCCTCACCGCCTCTGACGCCGTTCTTTGGGTCCCAGGTACCCTTCAGTCCAGTCCTGCGACCACAACTCCGTCAGGATCCCTTAGCGGCTCCCAGGATGATAGCGATTCCGATATGACCTTCAGTGTCAACCAATCCTCCTCGGCGTCGGAGTCCTCCCTGGGTAAGGGGACGTGAAGCCCGGCAGGGTTCGGGCTGGCAGCTGGCTGGTTCCTTCCTGGGGCTGGCCAGGGTTGCCCCCTGCCCTCCCCATCCTCTCCATCCCTTAGCTGGCATTCAGCTGTACGGGCCAGATACCTCGGTGTGGCATCACTCGGCAGGGTGGCAGTGGCGTCTTAGCCTGATGCTTGGTGGGGTAGAAAGGAGAGACCGACACCAGCCCGGACTTGAACCACAGCTGGCCCCTCCAGAGTTGTTCCCCACTGGTTCTGCAGCAGAGGCTCTGTATCTTGGGGCCTCTCAGCAGGACTCACCCCAGAGCTACATTACTAATGTCTGTCCCGTGCTCCCTTTTGGCAGTGACAGCCCCCAGCTCCCCACTGAGCCCTCCGCTGTCCCCAGCGTTCCCGGCACCAGAGCCGGCCGGCAGCAAGAACGGTGAGTGCACGGTGTGCTTCGATGGCGAGGTGGACACAGTCATCTACACGTGTGGACACATGTGCCTGTGCCACAGCTGCGGCCTGCGGCTCAAGAGGCAGGCCCGGGCCTGCTGCCCCATCTGCCGGAGGCCCATCAAGGACGTCATTAAGATCTACAGGCCATAGCCTGGCCCGCCCACCGGCCTTGAGTGGAGCAAGGTCACCTTTCTAAAGCCACCTGGGCCGGGCAACCACCATGTCTCCCCGGGAGCCCAAGGGCAGTTGCCGCCTCACCTGCCGCTCTGCAGTGGTGGGCAAGGCGTGAGGCCGTGGAGAAGAGGTCCTGGGGGTCTGAGCCCAGGCAGGGGTTGCTTCTGGCTCAAAAGTGCTTTGCCCCCAGGAGGCCGTCCCAAGAGCAAGCTCAGGAACTCCCTGGCAGTTCCCGTCCCTTGATGACTCTTCAGCTGGAAAGCTGTGTCCTCTGTCTGTGCAATGCTGCTGTGGGGGGTTGGTTTGAGTGTGTAAGAGAGGGGCGGGCAGGGGGGAGCTGACGAGTAGGGGATGGATGAGTGAGAGTGAGCGAGAGAGCACGTGGGTGTTTTATCCAGGGGTCCCGGCCCTAGGAGGTTACTGAACACTAAGAAATGTGCAATCCAGAGCCCAGACGTCAGTGGGACCGGGACTCGTTCGCTGCCCGGGGACGCGAGCTAAGCTGGTTTTGAATGTACGAAGCCTGACCTACGCAGAACTCTTCGGCTGGTGTAGGGATACTCGGACTTTCTAAGGGAAGGCAAAAATAACCAGTGTTTACAGCTCCTGCGCAGCAGCTCCTGGGGGGAAGGTGGGCGGAGGGCAGAACAGCGTGCTCCCTCCCGTTCCTCCCTCGGCAGCGTCTCGGAGCTGAGTGCCGCTGGGCACCGCAGCCGGGCGCTCTGGCGGTGCCGCCTTCTCACCCGTCACCCTCAGCCGAGTAATAAGCACATCGCACCTTGCTGGTCTCTCGATGCTTTCAGGCTGGTCGTGCCCTTCCTCGCTCTCGGGAGAAGACAAGCCCAGGTTCTGTATTCCCGAGGGAGGGCAGGCGGCTCACCTGGGTGGCACAGACAGCTCCCACCTCTCCCGTTACAGCCCCCAGGCCTGGCTCTGACCGGGGGCTGTGAGCATTTCTGGGTGGCCTGCTGGTAGGAGGAGGAACCAGGGCCGGTAACTGGTCTTTGTTCCGATTGCCCTGCTGAGTCCTAAGGCGTTGATGGTAAGCAGCGTGTTAACTAATAGTGAGGCGCTCACTGACGATGCCGACGCGGTCATTCTCCCCTTCCCATTCCTGTTTGCTGGTACTTCCTGGGACCCTGGCCTGGCCCCCTTCCCTTCACCCAGGCCTCCACCCATCTCTGCATATACCGGACCACCCCTGGGCTGGCGGGCTGGCCCAGGCCTGCTGCTCCCTCGCGCCCTGGTTCCAGGCTCCACCTCTGCCCTGGCCCATGCCGACCCTTCTGGGAAGTCCCTCGGGCCTCCCTTTTTCTCACCCCACCCGGAAGCCCAGCCCCTGACCCCCGCCCCCAGGAGCTCCTTGGTGTGGGCACGCCATTCTTAAAGGCCCGAGACACCCTGCAGACAGCACGTACTGTTTGCATTCCAGTTCCTAATCTGTTCATCTCTACAGAGGGAAAGGGAGACTTTCAGGGAGTCTGGGTGCCCAGGGCCAAGCCTGGCCAGGCTCGTGGGTCAGGTCACGTAGACCAGGCAGTGCCCTCGCCACACTGGAGGTCTCAGGCCCAGCTGCTGCTCCTGTGCCCGGGAGCGTCAGGGTTTTCTCACCGATCTCAACTTCAGGACCCTTCCTCTGGCCCCAGCGAGAACCGGGATCAGTTATTTTCCCATATTTACTTTTCTCAGCTGAGTCTTCTGAGGAGTGACTAAACCCCAGTCTTTGCCAGAATTGGGAGTTTGAGAATCTGGCCCCCTCGCGTGCCGGGGGTGGGGTGGGGATGGGAGTGGCGGGGGCGGCAAGGCCCCATGTGGCAGGCCTGGGCATCATGGGACTGGTTCCCAGGCCATCTCCCTGACTGGACTGAGTCACAAGCTCTGCTGGTCTCAGTGACCTGCTCCCCTCCTGTCACTTGCCTTCTAGCCGCCACCTTGCTGTCTACACCGGTGTCTGAGGGCGGGGGCCCAGGGGTGGACTAAGCGGCCACTGGTGGCCGTTTAACCTGCTCTGCAGCTGCTATGAATAGCTCCCTGTTTCCAAGAGGGGCCACACGGGTGTGGACCTTCTAAAAGCAGACGTCTCCTGATGCTAAGTGAGTGACAGCACTCACAGCTCCCTCTTTTCTGGCTCGAAATCGGGGCAGGGCAGACCTGTTTTTTACTTCACACCTACTGTGTGCCTTGGCACTGGGGAAGAGGGCTTGCATCCGTCGCGAGTGGCAGGTCTTATCACACGGCGTCACGCGGAGCCCTTCGTAGAGTGCCCCATCTTTCGGACCACTGAGAAACACTGCTGGTGTTGCCCGATGCCACAACCGTGCGCTCCAGCCCCGTCAGGTGGGAGCGTGACAAAGCTGCTGCTTCCAGTGAAAGCCGGCAGGGTCCCCTGTGGCAGCTAAGCGAGCTGAGGTCCCGAGATGAAGTGACTTAGCCATCACGTAACGGGAGGCCGCAGCGCTAGGACCCCAGCCCAGGGTGTCTGGCGCCTCACCCCATCCTCTCCACGGCCTGTTCCTAGTGCCAGCGAGCTCGGGACCCGGTTTCTCCCTGAGACTCACCTGTGACATCTGGGAACCTGTGCCTCTCTGGCCTGGAGCCGCCTGCACCCCGGCGGGGCAAGGTCCAACCTGCTCTCGGTCTCATGAGCTCACGGCCCACCTTCTCCTGGTCAGGCTGGGCTACCTGAGGTCTTGGCTCCAGCCCTGGGGCCTTCTGTTCCATGGGGGAACCCACAGGGGGTTCCTCAAGCAGCACCCCAGCCCTCCTATTTTCCAGGCCTGCCGCCCTTTCGGGGACCCTCTGTTCCCCAGCAGCCAGGGTTCCAGGGATGGCATGGGAGGGCGGGAGTTGTGGTCTTCTGCCTGTTCATCTTGAGCCTCTGAAAAACGGCTGTTACGAAGCAGAGCCAGTTCCTTGTTCTATCATGTTCCAGAACAGAGAGTGCTCTGGGATTCCGCTTCTCAGGGGCAGCTGCTCCCCTAACACTTGGCACTGCTAACTCAGTACCACGAGTCAGCGCGGACACAGGGTTGAGAGCCGGGAACAAGACAGAGCCCTCGAGCTAGGGCGTAAGGGAGGAGACGGACAGGTATGTGACTGCCGTCCAGACCCCGTCAGGCCCTGTGCGCACGCAGCAGGTACTCAGTAAAGATCTGTTGGATAAGCCAGAAACCAGATTATGTTCAGGGGTTTGGCACCATGGCACCATGTACGTGCAGAAAGTCATTCAACAAACCTTCGCTGAGTGCCTGCTACGTGAGGTGCTGGGAAGGTGGGGCAGAGAGGACCTCGTAGCAGCTCTAAGCCAGCGGTGGTGACATGAGGAGGGTCAGGAGACACTTGGGGCAGAACCTGTTAGACTTTCTTGGGCAGGTGCCCGGTGACGGCTTTGCTGCCCCTCAGCCTCCTGCATTAGAAATGCCGGGCACCTTGTAGCCTGGGCTGCTGCCAGAGTGGCCTCAGCAGGCCCTGTAGACCCCACCGTCCGATCACTCTCAGGTCCTTCAGGGAGACACTGGGGGAATGGCTACCACTACTTCTAGTCCCTGGAAGTAACCTCCGAGGCCCAGGAGAACCTGGCGAGGCAGCTCAGGTGAGTCGCAGTGGACGAGAGGCAGTAACGTCCCCCTGCTCCGTCCTGTCCCAGGCCTGGTTCTAGCAGGAGGCACTGGCTCAGGAACGCGTGGCCTCCTGGCACCTCGGTATTTTGTCGTCTGTCTTATCCATGTCCCTCATGAAATGACTCGTACAACAATCTGTCTGTGCCTTATCAAAGCGTCTGTGCACTTTTTATCCTTTTTTAAAGCGACTTTTAAAAGTGGACATGGGAGCATACCTGGGAGGATTCTAGAAATCTGTGCTAGTCACTGAGACCTTTTGCATTGTTTTCGATGTCGGAGTGATAAAAGCGTGCACCCTCCACCCCACCCCCACCCCCCGTGTACAGACCTTCTGAAACACGTCTCTGGAGCATACTCTTATTTTTCTGATTCAATACTGTGACCTCTCCAATACAGTCTAATCTTTGGGGATCTGTAATAAAGGTTTTAACACTTGGGGGAGTGGGTTGGAAAGGGTTTGCACTGCCCTGTGTGTTGTGCTTTTGTGTGTGTGTGTGTGTGTGTGTGTGTGTGTGTGTGTGTTCTGATTTTTGTCTGTTTTTATCTGTTTTATATTAACATAATTTTCTCGTTTAAAAAAATACAACTTTGGCTTGTTAAAAAAAAAAGACTCTTCAGAACTCGTTTTTAAATCACACTCACGTACGCTGCTGGGGTAGAGCTGAGGGGTCCAGATCACCACTGGCCTTGAGAAAGAAAGCACAGAAGGCCAGCGCCTTGCCAACATTTGACCCTTGGCCCAGTAATGCACTTGTACAAAGCCTCACCGGAAATCATTCTAATCAAAGCAAGCTCTATGCATAAAGGTGTTCACTGCAGCATTATTTATAATGGCAAAAACTCTAAGCAACCCCAGTGTCCAACAACTAGGGTGTCCTTGCCAAAACTCGATCACAAGTGACAGAAACCCAGGTCTCAGCAGGCAGAAGGGTTGACCTAAAGAGTCCAGTAGCAGAACCCACCTCAGATGCAAATGGATCCGGGGTCTGGATGTCACATCACACTTGGTCAGTCCTACCCTTCCTGCAGGTTTCCAAGATGGTGACCTGCAGTCCTAGGCCATGTCCTGCCCTTGAGCGATCCCTGAGAGAACCAGCTCGGGTCACGTGTACCTTCTGAACCAATTCCTAAGGCCGGGGAGATTCGGGGACGCGTGCTCACGTCCACCCACTAGCCGTCCCCATCTGAACCCAGGGGAAGGTTGGAGCAATGAGGAAGGCCTGCCGGTCGGGCAGGAATAACAGACAGCTCTGCGGCAAAGAGTTGAATCAACCACCACACGGATACGTCCCTGGTTAACAGCAGGGCACGGAGCCAGGCTGCCTGGGCCCCACCAAGACTGGGCAGGAAACGTAGCCCCTTCGTGCTTCAGCTTCCTCATCTGCCAAGCAGAAATAGTCCCAGTCCTTGGTTCCAGGAGGGGCGTGAGCGTGGCGGAGATGTCATGTGGTGAGGCCGTGTCTGTGTTAACACGGTGGGGAATCGAGATAGACATTCTGACCTTACGGATGTTCCAAAACAAAAAAGCAGTAGCAGAGGAACC